TCCAGGTGTGTACAGTAATCCAGTGTGAAACTTTTCCTTTGTGCTGGATCTTCCTGTAATAAAGACTGGTCACTGCTGTGCTTTCCTTCTGCAGGGGGACTGGTCTGGTCTCTGCCCACTTCTGTAGTGGGGGGAGCTTGCTGGGCTCTGCTCACAGCTCTGCTCTCTACATGGCTATGTACAGCTCAGTGATTATGCCTCTGCTTTTCCAAGCCAATAACTGCAAATAACTCAGCTGGCAAAGACATTTGGTGCAAAGTGAATTTATATCCTTTGTGGCTATTAAAGAATATATTTAAATGAACTTTTTTTTTGTGCCCAGATTTCAGCTTGATTGATGTCAGCAAGTTCTGGTTTAGAACTTATGCAGGATGCATTAAGTAGTGGCAGGTGTGGCTCCCATCCTTAGGAACGGGACTAAAAATGATTGATTTTTATAAACTAATTGTTAATTAACGGATGGTTGGCAACCCTGCTAAAGACCAGATAAATCACCAAGACACTTCACGATTTGAGAAAAATAGCCTAGCCATTCACTAGAGACCGGTGACATTACTGAGACCTTCATATTCATAAGAACACAGCCTATCCATTCACTAGAGACCGGTGACATCACCGAGACCTTCATATTCATGAGAACACAGCTTATCCATTCACTAGAGACCAGTGACATCACCGAGACCTTCATATTCATGAGAACACAGCCTATCCATTCACTAGAGACCAGTGACATCACCGAGACCTTCATATTCATGAGAACACAGCCTATCCATTCACTAGAGACCAGTGACATCACCGAGACCTTCATATTCATAAGAACACAGCCTATCCATTCTCTAGAGACCAGTCTGAGACCTTCATATTCATAAGACCAGTGACATCACTAAGACCTTCATAGGGTTGCAGAGACCACTGAGGATGATAGCAATGCAGCGTCCATCTCTGTCAGAGACCTGAAGACAAGATCAGCGGAGATTAATCCATGTTGTCAATGTTGTCCAACCAGCCTGGAAAGCAGCTTTTCACATGCAGAAAATGTTGTGTGGCACTGGAACTCAGTCAGCCTCTCTACTCTGTGCTTTGGTTCCTCCTTAGTAGTTTCTGATATACAGTCAGACCTCTAACTACCAGATATGTGTGTCGGATGCCTAACCTGGCTCTAGCCTATGCTGATTATCAAGTCCTAAGATAAAACTAGCTATGGAATCTCAGACCAGAAGAAACAGGGTTAACTAAAAACACAGGATCTGTATATATATTCTACTGCAATAAACTGGTTCACTAATATACTGGAAGGTGACCACTTACCACATACAGTAGCACAGACCTAGCTATCTTGCACTGTGTATGTGAGATAAGAACAAAAGGACAAAAGATTCTCTGTCTGTCAGAAGGATTCAGAAACACTCTCAAGAAGATATAGGCAGCTGCAGTTAAACGATTGGAACATAAAAATTGTTGCATAATAGTCTCTTCTGCTCTGGATTTGGTAGCATGGACAGGACATGTGGCTGAGACTTTCTCTTCACTTCCTCCTTCTAGGGTTTCAAAGCCAGCCTCCCAGGGACAAACTGTGATAATACATAATTACACAAAACACTGTGATATTTGCAGCTAACAGTAGAGGACAGCAGATCTCAGCAAGATATATCCCATTTATGAGAACACAGCCTAGCTAGCTAAACAATATGCCTTTATTTTCCGAAAGTTTGGGTGACGATATCCATGTTACATAGTTATTCTGGATGAAAAAAAGACATTGCACCTCTGACAGAGAGAGGCTCTTTGACAGAAGCTGTCAGCATTCTCTGACTTTAAGTGGAATTCAACATTAAAAAAAATACATTTTTTAAAGCGCTGCGCAAAGTGTTGGCGCTATATAAATCCTGTAGAATAATAATTTAAAAAATTCAAAAAAAAAACTATTATTTGCTGTTGAAATATAAACTTTTTTTTTCAGTTTTACATTTTTGTCCATTTGTAAGTTTAGGATTAAAAATCTGAGCAGGATATGTATTATTAATGTACAAAATGAAAGCCTTATAAATGTAAAATGTTTACTTTGGACACATGTTTTTTTAAATGGGGTCCATTTATTAGGTTTTTACACAAGTTTTACCCAGGATTCAGGCATATTTTTTTTTAAATTGAATCTGCACTGAAAAATTTAAGAATCTATATGAATTTTTGGTGAAAGTTGTGTGAAAACATTTATAAACACCAAAAAAGTTATTGTCAGATTAACTGATATATGCTGGCTCCGCTAAATTAGGCCTGGGCATCTAGATATTGATAACCCTGGATTAGTAAAGAGTTAAACATACCTAAACTATTCAAGAAACAGGCAGAAAGAGGGTGCTCAGACTGAAATTCAGGCCAGTTGGTCAAACTCGCTACCTTCTTCCTCATTACAGAAGAGAGTAAGGGCAATCCCATTGTAAGCCTGCTTAGAAATTGCACCCTGCATGCAGAAGAGCATAGTATCACAGAAAAAGGTTATGGGTAATGCACAATTCATCGTTTGAATAGAATTTTATAATTTCCGCTGAATAGAACAAAGACTTAATATAGGTTTATACTTATGAATGAACGTCCCCTTCTTAACCATTAGCTGCCCGGCCTATAGCCGTTTGGCGGACGCAAAAATGCTCTAGCTTTCCAGGTGTACGCCATTTGGTGTCCTCCCGCACATGCGCAGATTGCGCTCCTGCAGAGCCGCGCAGCGGCGTGATCTGTCACCGGCCGTGTACCTCGGACACGGCCGATGACAGATCTGAGTACCGGCCCCCCCGTTGCCGGTACCATGTGACCTATCACAGCAGGTCACATGACAGTTGTATACAATGGATGGCTTCATTCATGCCATCCATTGTATACTAGTGCCTAGCTGTGAATGGTCACAGCAGGTCACATCCACATGTCATGTGATTAGCTGTGGCCAAATCACAGCTAAGCACAAAGAAAAAAAACCCCTGAATGAATCGATTTCATTCAGGTAAATGCTTGCTTATAGCAAAGTAATTATTTGCTATAAGCAAATTGTGTAAAAAAAAATAAATAAATAAAAATACTGATCACTTCTCCAAAGTAGTACAATGTTACTATGGTAACTTTGTACTACTTTGGTCATAGTAAAATATGAAAAAAAAATCTTTAAAAAAATGTAATAAAAAATAATAAAAAAATTAAAAAAAAAAAAATATATATATTTTTTTTTCGTACTGTCACCAGTCAGTGTCCCTGTTCACCGCCATGCCAGTTATATGATGACGCTGTACTGCACTGGTGACAGTATGTAAAAAAAAAAAATAATGAAAATAATTTTTTCATTTTCCAAAAAATTATGACAAAAAAAAATACAACTTCAAAAAACCCGCCATTCCTCTTAAAAAGTACGTCGGACTGTCTACTCTGCAAAAAGGGGTCATTTGGGGGATATCTGTACTGTTCTGACATTCTTGGACCTCAAGAAATTAGATTGGCTGTCAGTACTTCAGGATTGATCAATTTTCAGATATATCCCATAGTTTGTGAACTCTATAACTTTCCTACAAACTAAATAATACATTCTAATTTGGGTTATTTTCACCAAAGACATGTAGCAGAATACATCTCGGCCTAAATTTATGAGAACAATTATTTATTTGTAAACTTTTATAACAGAAACAAAGAAAAATGTTTTTTTTTTCAAAAGTTTTGGTCTTTTTTTGTTAATTTAGCAAAAAATAAAAACCCCGGCGATGATTAAATACCACCAAAAGAAAGCTCTAGTTGTGTGAAGAAAATGATAAAATTTTAGTTTGGGTACAATGTTGTATGACCGCGCAATTGTCATTTAAAGTGTGAGAGCGCTGAAACGTGAAAAATGGCCTGGCAGGAAAGTGTAAAAGTGCCCGGTATTGAAATAGTTAAAAGAAAACCAGTCTAAGGCCATTTTATAGAAATGATAGATTTTATTCTCATTACAAAATTTACAAGGCAGAGTGATTAAAGTTCCTTTACAATAAATGAACTAAAATTACAAAAAAAATAAAAGACAGCAAAAAGGTAATTGTTTGATCCTTTTGCCACAATGTGCTGGTCTCTGTATTTTCAAGGCTAGGTCCACACATATATTTCAGTTATTAGATGGATGTTTATGGACTTTAGGCTTAACTGCAGTTAAAACTTTTTTTGTTAATGTTTTGCACACAAAAAGAAGTTGTAGATATGGTGACAGATTGTATATGCTGTCTGTGCCCCCGCAGAGGGAATTTCTCTTCTCTTCCTGTTCCATGTGATATCACCTGAACCATCACCTAGACAAGAAGTGAAAGGCGACAGCAGTACAAGTCTGATCCTCACTCTGCCCCCATTGAAACCTCATTTATGTTCTGTGTGACAACCATCAAATAAAATGGAGGTTAAGAAATTTTCCCTCACTTCCTGTTCTGTCTGACACACATCAGGGGAGATTTACTAAAACTAAAATAGTGAGGAAAAGGCAGGATTTTTTTTTAATGCAGAAGACACTATGGGGGAGATTTACTAAACCCGAAGAGTGAAAAATCTGGTGCAGCTCTGCATGGTAGCCAATCAGCTTCTAACCTCAGCTTGATCAATTAAGCTTTGACAATAAAACCTGGAAGCTGATTGGTTTCTATGTAGAGCTGCACCAGATTATGCACGTTCCAGTTTTAGTAAACCCCCCCCCCCCCCTCCCATTATATAGAACAAATGTAGGGAGATTTTCCTTCACTTTGTGTTTTGTATGACACTCATCAAATAGAAAGGAAGTAGTAAAACTATCACTTCCTGTTCTGTGTGACACCCATCAAATATAGAAAAAGAGAGGAAAACTCTTCCATACAGGGATATAAGAAGCAATAAAAACTTGACAGAAGTACTAACCCTTCCTTACTCTATCCATGTGTGATCCAACCAACATCTACCCATATAATGCTTGTTGGGGGATGGACTGACCCTTTCATGTAAAATGCAGACACCCCTCCAGGGATGCTCTACAAAGTGGGCAGCAGGAGGGCAGTGAACACAACATTGGCTCCATTACACAATACGGACACCAGGTTACAGAGAGAGGAAATGCCATGGTAGCGTAGGAATGATTTCCGCAGAGCCCGGTATTTGGGATCCTTCTCCTGAAGGAGTTTGTAGCCTTCACTATTGGCGCTCAACCCGATCCCCTGACCCAGGCTGTGCTCCCGCTCAATGGCATGCATCTTGAACATGACCTTGGACGTGGAGGGTGAGAACCAGCGGGCATTCAGTGCAGACACAATAAGTGATATAAAGAAGAGGGCAATCTGTTAGGGGAAAGGAAAGAAAAAAAGAAGGTAAGAGAGGGAGCCTGAGAAAGGCCAAAAAAGATCTAGTAAAGATAATAAGACTGAAAGGGAGATGTACAATATATTAAAGGATATCTCTAGTTTACATTTCTATTTTTTATGCATTTTATTCAGTAATAAAAAAAAATCGTTAACCTACAATGCCTTGAAAAAGTCTTCACACCTCTTGAAATTTTGCACATTTTGTCATGTTATAACCAAAAACAAACGTATTTTATTGGGATTTTATGTGATAGACCGACACAAAGTGGCACATAATTGTGAAGTGGAAGGAAAATGATAAATGGTTTTTAAAACTTTTTACAAGTAAATATCTGAAAAGTGTGGCGGCATTTGTATTCAGCCCCCAGGAGTCAATAATTTGTAGGACCCCCTTTCGCTGAAATTACAGCTGCAAGTCTTTTTGGGGATGTCTCTACCAGCTTTGCACATCTAGAGAGGGACATTTCTGCCCATTCTTCTTTGCAGAATCGCTCAAACTCTGTCAGATTGGATGGAGATTGTCTGTGAACAGCAATGTTCAAGTCTTGCCACAGATTCTCCATTGGATTTAGGTCTGGACTGTGACTGGGCCATTCTAACACATGAATATGCTTTGACCTAAACCATTCCATTGTAGCTCTGGCTGGATGTTTCGGGTCGTTGTCCTGCTGGAAGGTGAACCTCTGCCCCGATCTCATGTCTTTTTCAGACTTGAACATGTTTTTTATTAATATTGCCCTGTATTTGGCTCCATCCATCTTCCCATCAACTTTGACCAGCTTCCCTGTCCCTGCTGAGGAAAAGCATCCCCACAACATGATGCTGCTGCCACATTTCACGGTGGGGATGGTGTGTTCAGGGTGATGGCCAGTGTTAGTTTTCTGTCACACATAGCGTTTTGCTTTTAGGCCAAAATTTAAATTTTGGTTTCATCCGACCAGAGCACCTTCTTCCACATTTGCTGTGTCCCCCACATGGCTTCTTGCAAACTGCAAACGGGGCTTACTATGGCTTTCTTTCAACAATGGCTTTCTTCTCGTCACTCTTCCATAAAGGCCAGATTTGTGGAGTGCACGACTAATAGTTGTTCTGTGGACAGATTCTCCCACCTGAGCTGTGGATCTCTGCAGCTCCTCCAGAGTTACCATGGGCCTCTTGGCTGCTTCTCTGATTAATGCTCTCCTTGCCCGGCCTGTCAGTTTAGGTGGACGGCCATGTCTTGGTAGGTTTGCAGTTGTGCCATACTGTTTCCATTTTCGGATGATGGATTGAACAGTGCTCCATGAGATGTACAAAGCTTGGGATATTTTTAATAAACTAACCCTGCTTTAAACCTCTCCACAACTTTATCCCTGACCTGTCTGGTGTGTTCCTTGACCTTCATGATGCTGTTTGTTCACTAATGTTCTCTAACAAACCTCTGAGGGCTTCACAGAACAGCTGTATTTATACTGAGATTAAATCACACACAGGTGGACTCTATTTACTAATTAGGTGACTTCTGAAGGCAATTGGTTCCACTAGATTTTAGTTAGGGGTATCAGAGGAAAGGGGGCTGAACATAAATGCACACCACACTTTTCAGATATTTATTTGCAAAAATTGTTGAAAACCATTTATCATTTTCCTTCCACAATTTTGTGCCACTTTGTGTTGGTCTATCACATAAAATCCCAATAAAATACATTTACATTTTTGGCTGTAACATGACAAAATGTGGACAATTTTAATGGGGGAGGAATACTTTTTCAAGTCACTGTATATTTTTATACAAATAAAATACTGCAATACCTCAAATTAAATTACACACACACACTGAAATTAGTAGGCAAAGGGCCCTAGTTACCTACTGTACACCCAAGCAGCCACATACATAGCACGCTGGGCTTTCCCTTAAGAAAACCCAGCATCCTCAGCAAACTGTATCATGTTGGCACCCTACATGTAAATATTTGTATAATAAAGATTTGACTAAATAATTACAAATGAAAGTGGTTCTAAAGGCAGAACAGTTTTTACTTTAATGCATTTGTTGCATTAAGGTAAAACACCTTCTGCATGCAGACCCCCTTCCCTATCCTTATACAGGTGTACCTCAGTTTACGAATGCCTTGGATAACATCATTTTCGGTTTTCAAATGAAAATCCAACAAAAATAATGCCTAAGTTTACTAATTTTTTTCGCAATACGAACTGTATGTCAGTGCTGATTTTTAAATGCAATTGCCGGCTTTTTTTTTTTTTCTTCACTATAGTTCACAGAATTAGCTGTCACTTTCCCCGGAGCTAAAGGATACTTTGTTTCTTTTATCTCACGAAACAAATTAAAAGGAAACATTGTTTCTTTTAACTGGGGGGAAATCAACTAAAAGGAAACTCTCTTTCTTTTAGCTGGGGGGAAAGTGACAGATGATTCTCTCAGCTATAGAGAAGAAGAAAAAAAAGCCGGTAATTACATTTAAAAACCGGCACTGACCTATAGTGACAGCAACTTTTTTTTTAAACTTTTTTCTGACCTTCGGAATGGATTCAATGGTTTTCAATGCATTCCTATGAGAAACCACGTTTCAGTTTACACATTTTTCACAATACGAAACCTGCCGGAGAACGCATTCCATTCGTAACCCGAGGTACACCTGTAATTACCTGAGCCCTCTCTTGATCCAGTGATGTGCACAAGCGCAGTGTCTCTCTCTGCTCTCTCCCTCCTCATTGGCTCAGAGACAGTAGTGGAAGCTATTGGAGAGAAGAGATGCAGCCATGTACAACACTGGATCTATTTTCCCCTCCCTTCCCCTTCACACAGACAAGTGAGAGGACACAGATACTGTATATAAAACGTTTTTTTTTACCTTAATGCAAGGAATGCATTACAATAAAAATTGTTTTTAGCTTTAGTATTACTTTAAGCACACAGATGTTGGCAACGGAGTTCCTCAAACATATAAGACAATAAAGCCCAACTCTGGACAAATAAAAAAATATCTCCTGCAGTGGGGCTGTGCCCGTACTGCAAGGGTTAATTGCTCATTTATGTCTAGTGGAAATTAAAAAGGAAATATACTTACCTGATCCTCCTTTCCTCCCCGCAGCATTGACACCCCACACTCTAGGGTCCTGACGTCATCATGATCAGACCAGGGATTGTGCGGGAGCGTCATCTGCCGGGGAGGATCAGGTAGGCAAATTTATTTCTTCTCTCCCCTAGACAAAACCAGCTATTAACCCTTGCAGAGTGGGTAGAGCCCAGGGGCAGACTGACCATTTGGGAACTCGGGCCCTGGGTCAGTAGGGGGCCCCATGAGATGCCCCTGGTACCTTTTCATAGGCTTTTTTGAGTGTGGTTTGATTGTGGGTGAGGACACAGGGGCCTCGTGATCTCCTATTGCCCGGGGGTCCCATGAGTATTCAGTCTGCCCCTGGTACAGCCTCACTGCAATAGATTATTTTTGTTGGGTTGGGCTTTAATGGGAGGTTTAAGTCTTATCTTTAGGCAAAAATTGTTTTCTGCAGGTATGTTGGTAACTTTTTCGATCTTGTTGTCCTGTGTCCTCGCATAAAAGATTTTCTTCTGCATTGTTGTGGTATTTTCCCCAAAGTCAACCTTCAGAGGCTATTTTTTCAGCATTTCCTGTCCAGGGGACCAGACTTCTGTACCCGCTCTATGTGCAGCAGGGTGACCGGTCCCTTTAACACCGATAGAAGCATCGACATCATCACGCTTAACATGCCTTCATTAGTAGGATTGTTACAGAGGTGGAATCTCTTCCCACCAGGGGTGGACTGATTATTTGGAAACTCGGGCACTGCCCGAGGGCCCGGGGTCAGTAGGGGGCCCCATGAGATGCCCCTGGTACCTTTTTCATAGGCTTTTTTGAGTTTGGGCAAGAACACAGGGGCCCCATGATCCCCTATTGCCCCGGGGGCCCCATGAGTTGTCAGTCCGCCCCTGCTTCCCACCTAACCTCGGCTATCCCCTCCCTGCTCCTCCTCCCTCTGATCTAGTTCTGCTTTTCTATGTCCTGCAGTTCCTAATTACCCAAGAACCCAGGACACCGATAGGTTGTTTAAAGCTGGACATATACTAATAAAATTTCATTAAAACATTTCTTCTTAAGAATGCCATTAGTGGGGTCAAAGGGATGCTTGTTTGTAACTGCAGTGACAAGACAATGTCGAAACTGACTTTTTCTCAAATAAACAAGCAGCGAATGTGGTTTTCCTTTTGTTCCAAAAGCAAATGTTAAAATCAAACTGAAGTACTTTTGAACAACAAACGAGTCACCAAATGTATTGGGAATTTCCGTACAAACGTTTGTTCAAAAAAACGACTAATATGTGGCCAGCTTAGAGCGATACTAAAGGTTCAGTTTTATTATAAGCTTACCTGTATGAAAAATATATAAAAAGTGGGTTTACTTCCATTTTAAAGTGTTACTAAAGTCTTCTTTTTTTTTTATTAAAATAACAAACACGTTATACTGACCTGCTCTGTGCAGTGGTTTTGCACAGAGCAGCCCCGATCCTCCTATTCTCAGGTCCCCCGCTGACTGTTTAGAATTTTGAGATGCACCAGATAGAAGACAGAAGAGAAGTGTGGTTAAAATGATCAGTGGGATGAGTGGGAAAGATTACGGATAGCCACAACGCTCACCTGAACACTCTCGCTGGGTGACAGCAGGTCCCGTGGATGGTACACGGCGTACACGGCCAGATTCAAAAATGAAAAGCACATGACTAAGTGGTTATAAAATGGGAACAGCTTACTCTGTACCAGCCCAAATGTGTGCCGGGCCACCCCTCTGATCAAAACAAACCCTGCAGGAGAGAAAATGTGTGTCAGGTCTTCTACAGCAAGGGGGATAAAACATATAGAAAAGATATATCAGGAGAAAAAAAAAATCAAAAAGACAGTAAGATCGTCTCACCTGCTACAAAAGTCGTCCAGAACTGCATACCCCATGATGCAGACAGCACCAGAAGATAGATCACCTTCACCAGGCTTCCCGGCTCTCCTTCTGTCACCATCCTGAGGAAACACAATCATATTCTGATTATTACAGTAACCCGGCTCCCGAGTGTCTTATTACCCTGTAATATCTTATTACGGTAACCCGGCTCCCGAGTGTCTTATTCCCCCTGTAATATCTTATTACAGTAACCCGGCTCCTGAGTGTCTTATTCCCCTGTAATATCTTATTACAGTAACCCGGCTCCCGAGTGTCTTATTACCCTGTAATATCTTATTACAGTAACTCGGCTCCTGAGTGTCTTATTCCCCCGTAATATCTTATTACAGTAACCCGGCTCCCGAGTGTCTTATTCCCCCTGTAATATCTTATTACAGTAACCCGGCTCCTGAGTGTCTTATTCCCCTGTAATATCTTATTACAGTAACCCGGCTCCCGAGTGTCTTATTACCCTGTAATATCTTATTACAGTAACCCGGCTCCTGAGTGTCTTATTACCCTGTAATATCTTATTACGGTAACCCGGCTCCCGAGTGTCTTATTCCCCCTGTAATATCTTATTACGGTAACCCGGCTCCCGAGTGTCTTATTACCCCTGTAATATCTTATTACAGCAACCCGGCTCCCGAGTGTCTTATTACCCTGTAATATCTTATTACGGTAACCCGGCTCCCGAGTGTCTTATTCCCCCTGTAATATCTTATTACAGTAACCCGGCTCCTGAGTGTCTTATTCCCCTGTAATATCTTATTACAGTAACCCGGCTCCCGAGTGTCTTATTACCCTGTAATATCTTATTACAGTAACTCGGCTCCTGAGTGTCTTATTCCCCCTGTAATATCTTATTACAGTAACCCGGCTCCTGAGTGTCTTATTACCCTGTAATATCTTATTACGGTAACCCGGCTCCCGAGTGTCTTATTCCCCCTGTAATATCTTATTACGGTAACCCGGCTCCCGAGTGTCTTATTACCCCTGTAATATCTTATTACAGCAACCCGGCTCCCGAGTGTCTTATTACTACTGTAATATCTTATTACAGCAACCCGGCTCCTGAGTGTCTTATTACCCTGTAATATCTTATTACAGTAACCCGGCTCCCGAGTGTCTTATTACCCCTGTAATATCTTATTACGGTAACCCGGCTCCCGAGTGTCTTATTCCCCCTGTAATATCTTATTACAGTAACCCGGCTCCTGAGTGTCTTATTACCCCTGTAATAGCTTATTACAGTAACCCGGCTCCCGAGTGTCTTATTACCCTGTAATATCTTATTACTGTAACCCGGCTCCCGAGTGTCTTATTCCCCTGTAATATCTTATTACAGTAACCCGGCTCCTGAGTGTCTTATTACTACTGTAATATCTTATTACAGCAACCCGGCTCCTGAGTGTCTTATTACCCTGTAATATCTTATTACAGTAACCCGGCTCCCGAGTGTCTTATTCCCCCTGTAATATCTTATTACGGTAACCCGGCTCCCGAGTGTCTTATTACCCTGTAACATCTTATTACGGTAACCCGGCTCCCGAGTGTCTTATTACCCTGTAATATCTTATTACAGTAACCCGGCTCCCGAGTGTCTTATTCCCCTGTAATATCTTATTACAGTAACCCGGCTCCTGAGTGTCTTATTACTACTGTAATATCTTATTACAGTAACTCGGCTCCTGAGTGTCTTATTCCCCCTGTAATATCTTATTACAGTAACCCGGCTCCTGAGTGTCTTATTACTACTGTAATATCTTATTACAGTAACCCGGCTCCCGAGTGTCTTATTACCCTGTAATATCTTATTACAGTAACCCGGCTCCCGAGTGTCTTATTCCCCTGTAATATCTTATTACGGTAACCCGGCTCCCGAGTGTCTTATTACCCTGTAACATCTTATTACAGTAACCCGGCTCCCGAGTGTCTTATTACCCTGTAATATCTTATTACAGTAACCCGGCTCCCGAGTGTCTTATTCCCCCTGTAATATCTTATTACGGTAACCCGGCTCCCGAGTGTCTTATTCCCCTGTAATATCTTATTACAGTAACCCGGCTCCCGAGTGTCTTATTCCCCCTGTAATATCTTATTACAGTAACCCGGCTCCCGAGTGTCTTATTACCCCGTAATATCTTATTACGGTAACCCGGCTCCCGAGTGTCTTATTACCCTGTAATATCTTATTACAGTAACCCGGCTCCCGAGTGTCTTATTACCCCTGTAATATCTTATTACGGTAACCTGGCTCCCGAGTGTCTTATTACCCTGTAATATCTTATTACGGTAACCCGGCTCCCGAGTGTCTTATTACCCTGTAATATCTTATTACAGTAACCCGGCTCCCGAGTGTCTTTATTCTCCCTGTAATATCTTATTACGGTAACCCGGCTCCCGAGTGTCTTATTACCCTGTAATATCTTATTACGGTAACCCGGCTCCCGAGTGTCTTATTACCCTGTAATATCTTATTACGGTAACCCGGCTCCCGAGTGTCTTATTACCCTGTAATATCTTATTACGGTAACCCGGCTCCCGAGTGTCTTATTCCCCCTGTAATATCTTATTACGGTAACCCGGCTCCCGAGTGTCTTTATTCTCCCTGTAATATCTTATTACGGTAACCCGGCTCCCGAGTGTCTTATTCCCCTGTAATATCTTATTACGGTAACCCGGCTCCCGAGTGTCTTATTCCCCTGTAATATCTTATTACGGTAACCCGGCTCCCGAGTGTCTTATTCCCCCTGTAATATCTTATTACGGTAACCCGGCTCCCGAGTGTCTTATTACCCTGTAATATCTTATTACGGTAACCCGGCTCCCGAGTGTCTTATTACCCCGTAATATCTTATTACGGTAACCCGGCTCCCGAGTGTCTTATTCCCCTGTAATATCTTATTACGGTAACCCGGCTCCCGAGTGTCTTATTACCCCTGTAATATCTTATTACGGTAACCCGGCTCCCGAGTGTCTTATTACCCCGTAATATCTTATTACGGTAACCCGGCTCCCGAGTGTCTTATTCCCCCTGTAATATCTTATTACGGTAACCCGGCTCCCGAGTGTCTTATTACCCTGTAAAATCTTATTACGGTAACCCGGCTCCCGAGTGTCTTATTCCCCCTGTAATATCCTATTACAGTAACCCGGCTCCCGAGTGTCTTATTACCCTGTAATATCTTATTACAGTAACCCGGCTCCCGAGTGTCTTATTCCCCCTGTAATATCTTATTACGGTAACCCGGCTCCCGAGTGTCTTATTCCCCTGTAATATCTTATTACGGTAACCCGGCTCCTGAGTGTCTTATTACCCCGTAATATCTTATTACAGTAACCCGGCTCCCGAGTGTCTTATTCCCCTGTAATAATATCTTATTACAGTAACCCGGCTCCCGAGTGTCTTATTCCCCTGTAATATCTTATTACAGTAACCCGGCTCCCGAGTGTCTTATTCCCCTGTAATATCTTATTACAGTAACCCGGCTCCCGAGTGTCTTATTCCCCTGTAATATCTTATTACAGTAACCCGGCTCCCGAGTGTCTTATTCCCCTGTAATATCTTATTACAGTAACCCGGCTCCCGAGTGTCTTATTCCCCTGTAATATCTTATTACAGTAACCCGGCTCCCGAGTGTCTTATTCCCCTGTAATATCTTATTACGGTAACCCGGCCCCCGAGTGTCTTATTCCCCTGTAATATCTTATTACGGTAACCCGGCCCCCGAGTGTCTTATTCCACTGTAATATCTTATTACGGTAACCCGGCTCCCGAGTGTCTTATTACCCTGTAATATCTTATTACAGTAACCCGGCTCCCGAGTGTCTTATTCCCCTGTAATATCTTATTACAGTAACCCGGCTCCTGAGTGTCTTATTCCCCTGTAATTTCTTATTACAGTAACCCGGGTCCTGTTTCAGAATATGGTATTATTGTGCCTTGGAACACAGTAAGATATTGCCGAGTCATTATACAGAAGGCTCACCAATAGATAAGAACAGACCGGTTAACAAACACACAGAAATTTGTGTTTTTCACTTTAGCAGTCTATTAATGTGAACTTTGTATTCGCTATGGACTATTGCAAAATATGAGGGGCATTCAAGTCAAATGGGGACTTCTGAGTTTATGTAATAAAACAACAAATTTCAAGGAGTGGAAACTGCATTTATTTTTCCACATACTCCCCTGCTACATTTATGCACTTATCCCAGCGTTTAACTAATGCCTGGAAAGCTTTGGCGTAGAAAGATTTGTCAGTATGCCTGACCCATCCAAGGACAGCCGGCTTCACTCTGTCATCATTGTGTTCACCTTTCCCACAGAAAGATTCATCTCTTGTGCAATTTCACGACAGATTATACGTCAATTATTCAGGATCAGGCTTTCCACACACCGAATGTTCACAGGAATGACTGCTGTGGGCTGGGAACCACCATGGCCGGGATCGTTGCTGATGGACGTACGACCATCTTTATTATTTATTTATTGTACTTCTATAGAACCGTCAATTTACGCAGCGCTTTACATATGTATTGTACATTCACATCAGTCCCTAACCCTCAAGGGGCGTACAATCTAAGGTCCCTAACTCACATTCATACATACACATACTAGGGACAATTTAGACAGGAACCAATTAACTACCAGCATGTCTTTGGAGTGTGGGAGGAAACCGGAGTACCCAGAGGAAACCCACGCAGGCACAGGGAGAACATGGAAACTCCAGGCAGGTGGTGCCGTGGTTGGGATTCGAACCAGCGACCCGAGTACTGTCAGGCGGAAGTGCTAACCACTTAGCCACTGTACTGCCACACTTTAAAAATGTTTACACCATTCAAATATCTTCCTGTGGCTGAGCGTCTCATCCCCATGCTGCGCTTGATGTCTTCTGTAGATATCCGTGGGTTTTAACCCTTGGTTCACAAGAAACTTCATCACCACACACTGTTCCATACACGCACTAACACTGCTGTCTGCCATCTTGAGTAACTGTCTCTGGACTGGCCTGTGACATGTGCACCGTCTATCAGTAATAGAACAGACTTACCACTTACTACTGTGTGTACCGT